AAAGCAAGAGGATTTTTGTGCTTTATGGGTCTAAATAATGCTATAAAAGCAGATATGTTTGAAAACGCCTGTGTCTGGGTGGGTCTGCAGTGCATTAGTTGGGTAGGACTTATTTGGGAAATTTAAAGAGGGGGGTTCGCCATAAAAAAAAGGGGGGTTTGCTAGAATTCTCCCGAACCATAACCCCCACCCCCCGGATACGGGCCTGATAACAACAACTGCGGCTTGATAATCCGTGCCGCTTATTGCATACGAGACAATTAGCAAAGGATATAGGCTTATAGATATATACAAATTATTAAGATAATATTCAAGACAAAATATAATTTCGGTATTGTTTTTAAAAATAGCATAAATATATATCTTAAGATATGGGCATGCATGAACATGTAACTGCAGAAATACATGTCCTTATATTATTCTACTAAGAAATAAATACAAGACAGACTTTTATAAAGAACTAAAAATCTGACACGACATTCTGTTTCTGTTATTACAGTATTGTATTATTACTGTACTAATGAATCCGATTAATGACATCCTCCGTGCGTCTGGTGGAAAACTGAGGAAATTGAGAGGAAACGCAGTTCGGCAGTTGGCTCTGTTTCTGTAATCCCAGAGCGCCTGATCTATCTTATCTTTATTCGTTCTGATATGCTGGCTCGACTATTGTTTGTTGTAATCCTAAAGGAAATGAGGGTTATGGATTGATCTTTGATGGATACGTTCCACGAAGTCATATAATATCTGGTAACTTCTTGCACAGACGATCAATGATACATTATGATAGGTCTTTCGCTTACTTAAAGGTGGTTTCTCACAAGTTGAGGTGATGATTATTCCAGAAACAGCATTCTGTAAAACATCCCTTCATTCTCAGCCATGAGATTCTCTATGACGCAACTTGGCCTAATAGGTCATGGGTCTATTGTGCAACAAAACGTTTTTAGTTTCCAATCGGAAGTTAAAATCACATCAACTTACCCTTTGCGAATTGACCTATCCGGCATGCCAATAACAGTTGACAACTGACCAATTAGAACGTGTTAATCAATAATCGAGAATACGCGCATGTCCCACGGGTTTACGTACATTTTAGGCTGTTTAAAGACCCACCCCTTACCAAAAATATCGAAGAGGTGTGTCTTGAGCCCTGTCCAGACTATGAAATTTGATTTTACAAAAACATGTGACATGCCTAAATATGGTTGTGATGACATCACATCATGACCATATATAGGCACATCATGACCATATATAGTAATAGGCGCATCAAGACTATCGTCATCAAAGTCAAAAAATGAATGACACATTGTGAAAGCAAACAGTCTCAGCTATAACATACTCAAAGGTGGGAGACGATTGATCAACAACAATCGAGATACGTTCAAGTGAATATAAAAATTATGACGTTATAAATAAAAATTCAGTTTTTAAAAATTCAGATGGCAATATGATGACGTCACAATGTCCGATCAGTTATAATGATCTATAAAATCATATCTACAACTCATTTGCTTTTAGAATATGTAATAAAAATTGGGGGTCACCTTTCATCCTAAGGAGCTATACGTACGCGCACGCTAAAATGCGCGAACGGAAAATTAAGGTACATGACATTCAACCTTGACCTGAAGTTTTACACTCACTTAATGATTCGGAAATGACGACTGGTTAGGATATGCAAAAGTTTTTTGTCAGAAAATATTTCATAGTGCAGACGTACCTTTAGCTGTAAATCAATCATTTAAAAATAACCATCAATTTAATTCTTGATTAAATATTTAGAGAATCTACAGTAGATTCGAGCTTACTTTATCTTCGAATACATGTCGGAGCACAAATATTGTGTTTCAATTTTGCCAGCAGTAATAAAAGTTTTCATATTAATGTTTTCCGTATTTATACTTAATTATTGAACTAATATTATTATTCTTGGTATTCACTGAGTTTCATTTTGGCAAAAAAGAACATTGGAAAACGGACATGCCATTTTTTTTCATTCAAAAACATATGCGACTATAGAAGCAAACAAATGGCAGAAAACAAGTACTGTATTAGGCTTGTCACAATGGAACAAACCATGCATAGGCCACGGAGGTTTGTCAGTAATACAGTCTTTCTCTATGATCACTAATGTCTACAACTTTCAAAAAACCTTATAATGAAATATTAAAATGTACATTATAATGTTGTTAGATAAGATGTATACCTAGGCTTACATTATACCGTGAATATATCTCTTTGTTTATGGCGCGTTTTATGCGTATTTCCAGGCAGTTATTCTACTTTCTGGCCTAGTTTTTCAAGTCTCAATGCGTTTCTAAATCTTGTTCCATATTGCTTACGATAAGAATAATTAAGCTAAAACATTTTTGCAGAAATCATAAATGTGGCGATTCTCACAGCAGTTTGTAAATGTTAGGTTCATCGACCACTGGGCCTTTTGTGAAACACAATAAACCGTACTTGAATGACCTCAGTTTGACATAGATATTTTTAACACCCCCTAGCTTGATGTAAAATGCATAAAAGGGCGTAAGTAATGTAGATGTAACAGCGTGACTTTATTTGGGCCGGTATTGATGGCGACCTCGGTGGATACAATACTTTTCATCGTTTTATTATTGTTCCACTTTCATAATTATTCGAATTTGGTAAAAGTAAACAAAGTTTTGCATTGCTGTTTGTAATATTTTTTACAGTATAATTTTGATTTCCTACTGTATCAGTGTCATCTTAATAATTCATGTATATTTCGGGCTTTTTTAAGTTTAATGTTTAGGCCAAATGTTTAGGCCTATATAATGGCGTTTTTTTTTTTGTTTTTTTTTTTGTTTTTTTTTTAACATTTAATGTTCGAGTGCCTGAGCTTTGGTTGGGAACACTTTTCCCACGCCCGGAAATGCGGTCTTCTGCTAAATGAGAGAAAACTGAAACAAACTTTTTCTTTGTGATGATTCAATCTATTGCGATTTAATAACAGGCCTACAATAAAGCGGGAAGACGGTTCACATAGAGGACCCGGCCCCGGTTCCCCCTCACCTTAAAAACACAGGGCTTATTATGTGTACGAAGCCCATCATCTGCATTATGAGGTTTGTTACAAATGATTAAAACTATTGGCAACAAAATTACAGTATTTCTTTCTGGGTGATCTTTAATTCATTACTTCACAAAAATAAAGAGATACAAGTCAGAGGCGGATTTTAAATCTTTCGTTGTACATAACTTTTAAATAAGGATATTTAATTAATAATATATACGTCTACTATATTTTTAAGTGTTTACATGTATTGTTTTCAACCTTGGAGAACCACTCGATAGTGATATTGTTTCGGTTTTTTTGTTATCCCGTTAGATTTCTTCTTTTCTGTCTGTTTGTATTTACTCGTGTCCTTGAATGTTTTACAAAATATATGATATATATTATGTTGAAAATTGAGGTGAGAAAACGAAACCTTGCGTTCAAATTCAAGACCGACTAAATAGTGCTAAGTATGCATTATAACTTCGTGTTTTGTTTAAGCTGTTACGAAGTATTCAATTTTTTTAATTGTTTAATTAAAAAATATTTAAAAAGGGAAAGGGCATGTGCCCGGCATATAATCCACCCTCATGATCCAAAATCCGCCCCTGAAGCCTTAACCTTTTTAAGGACTACTGTATTTTCTATATATAAATCATTATAGTATTTACTAGACTTGCCACAAGTCTCTAATTTATTGACTTTTTTTCGTATTTAGTATCAGAGAAAAACTCAATATTATTTAAATGTAAGCTTTTATAACTTGGTGACGTCACCGAACACCATCATCATTATCCCCACCACTGATAACGATGATGGTGTTCGATGGCGTCATCATCAATATCCCCACCATTGAATTCACAATCATCAACAACCCCCATAGCTAACCATACATAGCCGTCCAGTCAACATCAATACTATCATTTTCACCTGCTCCCTTATCCCGCATAACTGTCATGTGAGGGTTATTGGTAAGCGGAGGATTAGAACCGGGGTTTTCAGCACAAGAAAGAGGAACATTACCTTTTTCCAAACGCTCATCATTATCATCTTCTTCTCATCATTATAATCATTGTCATTGTCATCATCCTCATCATCTTATCATCAGGCATCATTATCACCATTTTCATCATTCTAATCTAAGAGTACAGAGTAGTGTAATAGTATTATCATCGTCATCATGGTCATCAACAGCGACATCATTATGCGTAATCATAATTATCATGATGTTTATCGTTTGGTTTACTCACCATCATTCTGTCTATAGTTTCAACCCCACTTTACAAAGTAAAGCAAGTGTAAAGAACAACAACGTCAAATCATTTCACTATAACCATGATGATGCAACACCCATCAGTTTCTATTAACTAAAAAAAAAAAAAAAAAAAAATCAGTAGTGACGTCATAATTTCATTTGCAATTTTTCAAGAAATATTGGCTTCTTCGGCGTCAATTCTCATAGGGTACTCTCAAAACTTCACTATAATTGCATAATATCAACAGGCCTACATTATGCCTTTTGAGGTAATTGAAACATTGTTAAATATTATGAAACACGAGTGTGGAAATAAATGTTTAAAATGTTATCCTTAAAATCGGTTAAACGCGGGTTAGCTAGAAACACTGTCCTTACCGGGGCTTGCCTTCTCTGGTGCCCCAGGCGGCCGCCACACGTAAGCTCGGGCCAGTGGCCAAAGGCTTCCTTTTCACATTCATCCCTAACTTCCAAGCACGGATTATTATGGAATAATATGAGGTTTTCTAATTAGGTCTAGGCCTATATGATGATTCTTGAAAATGATCAATTGAAAAGTTGATGTTCAAAAAGTTTTATATATAGGCCTATGTATTTATTCAAAATCAAATTTAAAACATGATAATATAGTAGAAACAAGTACTGAGGCAACAGTTGTCTCAGCTCAATTGATCATCAAGCCCTCCCTCCTACCCCCCCCCCCCCCCATCTTATAAATTGGACTCATCGTGGCCCCTAAATACAGATGTGTTTACTGGAAAAGTTTTCAGTGTCGACATCGATGATAAAACAGGAGAAATATACGTGTCCCAGGTAAATAATTTTCATCAAAAGATAGGTAGGCGTCGTAGTAGTCCTATCCTATCCCTAACCATACTTTACAGAGCACTTCTCACTCAGCTCCACAACTAGGCCAGGTGCTGGGTGGGATGGTGCGATATGAATCCACTTTTCGTATAGGGGTGCGTTCGGGCTAGAACGGGAAAAATCTACATATATAAAGTATAAGGTTGTTACCGGTGTTGTATCCGCTGGTGGTCTATGGTTCGTGCAGAACTCGGCTTTCAAAAAAAACCCATTAAACATCGGACTTAAAACATAAGGTATTATGCAAATGATGAGTTTCTATCAAGTTGCCCTGGACCCTTGCGTCATCCCACGCTGTAATTAAGAAACAGATGGTTGTTGTCTCAAAATCAAGTAATTAAATGACGAAGAAGCTAAAATAAGCTTCATAAAGCATATATTCCAAGCTCCCAATAAATCTCAGATGTGCATTTTGGGCATATAAACCATGAATAAGCTTTCATTCGTTTGACAATGGTAGTTTAAAAATAGAAAATTACTACCATTGTTAAACGAATAAGCTGTGGTGCCATGATCATGCATGCATGTGGCCCGCATGAGGTGGACGTATGTGTATTATGGTAACAATCTGGATTCTAGGCTAGCTCTTCGTTGAAGTAATATATTTTATCAAGCATTTCAGTTTTGTTTTTGGAAATAAACTGTAAAAGAAAGAAGAACCATGAAAATTTAAACATACTTTACTTCTGGCGCATGTTGAAAGAATTAATTAGCAATAAAAAAGGAATTACAAATAAAATTATTATTATTAATTTATCTTTTCTGTCATTTCTTATTTTATAAATATTATACTCTCCTTCTAATTAACCTTACAGTTCTGATGAATTAATTTAGGCCTTCTTTCACTCTCAATACTACTTAGCTTAAGTTAATTGGAGGCACAGACTTAAAACCTTAATGGTTTATTGTGTCCTCCGCACACAACCTTTCTTTTATTATTATTATTATTATTATTATTATTATTATTATTATTATTATTATTATTATTATTACACTTACTATTATTATTATCATTATTATTGCTATAAATTTTATTATTATAAATGTTGTTATTTATTTACCTTTCTGAAGAATTTTATATTGTATTTTTTCGTTGTGTGAAATAAAATAAAATGAATGAATGAAATGAAGTAATAAAAAATGCTCCTTGCTACTTACGCATGGTTTGCTCATCCAAAACACTGCAATTTGCACTGTTGAATTATCAGCGGACATCAGCAGGCGGTCTGCTGATAACTGGATAACTGGAAATGGCCGTTTCCGGATTTATCCCGAGTTAGACTCCACAAAAAACTCACCTGAACGCACCCTTTGTCTACACTGTGCAGTATGGATTATTTCAGATGTGCACTTTAAATTAGCATTCTAATAATGATACTGTATCGTAACACTAGGTTGAATTTTTTTTGCATATTCTTTTCAACATCATGATTACAGATGAACAGATGAGCTTAATACTTTTGTTATTTATTAAGAGAGGAGTTGATTATCATCCTGTAGTAGTGTTCTCAGAGGATGGAGAGCTGAAACGAGTGTTTACTTTCGACACCTCCATTGTCAGTATGATCCATGGACTACGAGTATTCCACAATGTTTCATCCGGTCAAACAAGTGTATGGGTCACAGATGTTGGAAATGGTAATTTGAATGCGTGTATTTTTAAATGTTGACTAACCATTTAAACTTTAAAACTTGGGAATATTGGGCCAGCCATATATACACCAGACATTAGTGGTATCAAAGGCACCAGACTGACTAAGATGCTCCAAATTCTTTAAAACTAAAAAAAAAAAAAAAAAAAAACGTGAAAAAAATACTAAAATTACATTTTTAATTTAAGTACGAGAGTGCCATTTCCTGTTATCTTGAGGTTCCAAAGCCATAAAAGTTTGTACCTCAGCCCAAACTATGGTGTGGCTGAGGTAGTCTGCTCTGGACCCTCCTTATGTAGAAGTCCCTTTCTGAACCCTCTTTGCCTTAAATTCCTGGGTCCATCACTTAGACATGATGAAAACCTAAACAACGTGTTTATATGTGAAGATCATTGACTGTCCTAGACAAAGTTTAGGGACTGCAACTCAGTCTATGACCGTCCCTAAATTGTAACATTGCTAATTATTTTAGTAAAATTATAATACTGAATAAATTAAGATAACACTGCCTGTTGATTTTATTTTCAGCTACATATGGACACACAGTAAAGAAGATTTCAACAGATGGTAAACTGGAGCTTGTCCTTGGAACGGCAGGAATAGCAGGATCAAGCTTGAGCCCTGTGCAGTTCGGCAATGTTGCGGATCTTGCTTTCAGTGAAAAGGGAGAGATGTATGTGGTAGACGGAGATGGTGGGGTTAACAACAGGCTGTTGAAGTTATCTCAAGGTAAATATAAAAAATTACAGGTAATAAATTTCTTTGACTAACATCAAGCCCAACAAAATATAATAGTGTTGCCCAAACACTGCGATATTTTTTTAATTATGGTCATTGGTCGAGACTTTTTTTTTTTTTACACTATATAGGCCTAATTATTCATGATAACAATCACTCACTTCATAATTTTGGTAAAATGATAACAACAGGGCTAAATTTCATGAGTAAGGTATTATTCTCTGTACAGATTATCAAATTTACTTTTGACAAAAAAATTGAGTATGCCCATATATAGTCAAAATGTGCGTATATATAGCCACGATATGATGGACCATATTTAGGCATAACTCAAGGTAATTCATCAAAAGGACGCACATCTCGGGACATCAAAGGTTATAACTCTGGCATCGACATTCTAGGCGCATGTGCGTCCCTACACGCTGAACGTCAAAAAAACCATAGCAACCAGACCATAAACCGTCAGCGTACGTGACGATTTACCCACGCGCGTGTTAGTTGCCATGTTAGTCGCGCGTCGTGCGGTGATTACAAAGGCCTAATGATATTTTGCAGAAATATATTCTTCATTTCAACATTAATTTTACCAAAATTGTGGTGAATTGTCGTTCATGAGACTCACTTCGCAGAAAAAATTAATAAATGTTCCAATACAATTTTCCTTTTATTTTCTCCTCTGCCTTGATTTTTTTAGCAAACGATTTGCTGAATAAAAGAACAAAATTTTATTTTTATTTTTTTTTCTGTTCTCCTTTAAGGATCTTTCAAAAAATAATTTTGTGAAACAAGGTATGAAAATAATGCCCGTATTCTTAAAACAAACTTTGGTCGAGCTTCGAACTAGAACTTCATTTAGTGCTTGTTCCAACGTCAATTTTGATTTGTATTCACAAACAACATAGTCGAAATTTTAACTACGACTAAATCAAGTCCTAGTTTTAGTTCAAGTGACGACGACTGGCAAACCACGACTATCAAACTAACCACTGCAAAGGGCTAACTTTAATAGCAGACGAAATTTTAGAGATCCGGTAACACGGATGAATATTAAGCTGCCGTCTGTGTTTCAAAAACGTATTTCCTCATATTATTCAGAATAGAACATTATTCGCTTAATTAATTTTTTATAATGATAACTATATTAGTTGTTAACATATTACGATAGAGAATTTGAACAGTCACTGAAAATTTGCTTTCTTTGGAGAACTATTATAGTTGAGCCCAAACGAGGGGGGCACCATCTTTGTTGTTGTTATGGTGAAGCTACGTGACCGCAACGAGAGGGGATTTCGTGCAAATCAGGATCTATCGCATGTAGCTAGCAAAACATGTTAATTTCTCCTTTTGGAAGCTAAACTTGATGTGTCTTTTGTTTAACACACCGAAGATTTATCAAACCTGCGTATACAATTGTTTTATTCATTTAATTTTATTGTGAGTTACGAAAAACACGTTTTAAATGGGGTAAATATTTTAAGTCGGTGATTTAGTCTGACCCAAGGCTGACTAAAAAAAATCGGCCTGCGGAGGTATCATTTTAGTCGAGGTTCGCGTCATTTAGACATAGTGCAAGTCGAAGTTAATTTTAAGAATACGAAATGACATAATTTTTAAGTTTTAGCTCGAACTACGACTAAAGTTTGTTTTAAGAGTACCGGGGTGAGAATTGAAACCAATGTCCATGAATAAAAAAAATAACGAAGTATATCTCACATACGTATGTGTGACTGCTGCCAGTTAATACACATTGTGTGTGGAGAATTAAAGTAGGTCTACTTTAGAAACTACAGTATTTAAAGGCAGGCAGGTAATCTGACTATAATTACTCTCTATTGAAACTGAGTTATACTTGTTATGCCCTATATACAGTATATTATATAGAACATATTATTCAACATTAGATAATACAGGACCAAGAGGAGAACCTATTGATACTCCATCACATTGCTTATAGTACACATTATTACAAGAAAATACTGTTTTGGTGCAAGTAATTTACGTAAAGTAGTTTTCTTAATATTGGTAGTTATCAGTTTTTGATTATATATACTCTGTCAAGCACAATATTAATTACCTTAGTTAACGGAACATTTAGTAAAAAATGATTCTACATCAACAAAAAACGATAACCGGCATGATAAAGGTGAGAGGGTATCTCCTTGACGCGATGAGCAGCGTCAAACGACCACCAATCTTAAGGAAACTACTCTACGTAAATTGCTTACAGATACCTACACCAAAACAGTATTTTCTTGTAATAATGAGTACTATAAGCAATGTGATGGAGTATCAATGGGTTCTCCTGTTGGTCCTGTATTATCTAATATTATTATGACCGAACTAGAACAGACCATTATTCCTGATTTAGAACAATTAGAAATTATTAAGTTTTATACTCGGTTCATTGATATTATTCAACATGATTTGATTTTTTAGATTTCAAAGTTATGTGGCACGTTGGTGAAGCAAACAGCACCAAAGACGGCAACTTTGACGTACCTCACAGCGTGGAGTTGGATAACCACAATCGTGTGTGGGTTGCAGACCGCATGAACGGCAGGCTGCAAGCCTTTGATGCAGATACGGGCAAGTTTATTGGCAAATGGACAAGTTGTTTCTCTGTTGGGCAACCATACTCTGTCAGGTTAGTTAATTTTAAAGAGAATATATTTTGTCAGTTAAAGATAAAACATCCTTAATATGCCATCCAGCCATTGGCTGCTATCAAGCATTATTACATTACACTCTGACTGTTGTCTTTAGAACTGTGATGACCAATGTATCTTTTATTCCATGATTCATAAATTGTTCAATCTTTTTCAGAATGAGTAAGGATAAAACGCATTTCATCGTTGCACTACTTCAGCAGAGTAAAATTCTTTTAGTTGCCACTCCACCAAGTGCAGGACCAATAGGCGACTGCAAGGTCTTGGGTTCTATAGATCTACCAGAAAATACCGGACCGCATCTAGTGGGAGTTAGCAAATCAACAGGTGCTTTTTATGTGGCTGAACTTAACACACAGACTTGTCAGAAATTTGTACCCATTGGACTACATAGAATTAATATAGATTAAATATGTTTTTCTCTTGCCATATTATTGTTCCAATTAAAGAGGATATTTTATTTTTGTGATTAAAATAAAAAACAGTGATGTAGGCTGGTCTTAGCCCCGGTGTGTGTCACAATGAAGAGTTATATGGATATGTTTTGTGAAAGAGTATTATAAGGTAACTTACAGTACTAATAATTACAATAACAAAAGTACTATGAATTGAGTAACTGGCATACGAGTCAGCAGAAAAGTTGACATGAATAATGATGAGCTAAAAGTGGCAATTGGTGGTAAGTGCTCACAAGTGAAGTGTAAAATGATGTTAATTTATGATCAAATTTTTAGAATAGGAATCAACCTGTACACAGTTGCACAGGATATGTGATAGGAGGTGAGCAGAATGGTGTTAGTGCGTTGGACACACCCAAGCTGAAACACCTAAGGCTTAGGAAAGTGTGGTAGCTAAATTAAGAGCACCACTAACACCTATGCACTATCAAACAAGAACAGATTTACAAGGACATATGTGAGTACTTTTAATGATTTATAAATGTCAAATTACGTTCCTATAAAGTTCCGTATATATTTATATGTAGAATAGTAATTGTGCAAGTAATGGAATATATGTAGGCCCTACGTGGTATGTGGTATTAATACTTACCTTGAATATGATTAAAGTGGAAATGTTGGACATATATTGGTATTGTTTATGAATTTATATTATTGTAGTACTGAATTCCATTTATTCGTAGTATACGGTAAAGCCTCGAATTGAAGCCCAATGGGCATTATCTCGAGAAGAATCCCATTGAATTTAAGCCCTCTTTTTAGTTTGCAAATTTCAAGATAGCATATGATTATTTTCGAGATGGTACAGTACATGGCGGCAGTTTGGCGCAGCGGTTGAGGTTTGGGCTTTCGCTCGTGTCCTTGGACAAGGCACTTCAGCTACATTGCTTCAGTCCACCCAGTTGTATCAATGGGTACCAGCAAACAGCTGGGGACTAACCTGCAATGGACTAGTGTCCCTTCCAGGGGAGGACAACTCTCATCCGCTTCACACTACAGAAACTGGGGATAAGCTCCAGCCCTATTAGCCCCAGTGGCTCGGAAAGGATTTAGTAGTAGTAGACAGTACATACACTTATAAATTTCAAAGAAACAAAATAAATTATAACATGCTTGGTTTATACAGTAGTTTAGGTGATTTATTGCTGGTTAATACTCCATGATACACATTGATGTTACTGTGGCCCTATTTATTGTTTTAAAATACTAATTCCCAAAATTTACAGCATTCATTTTGAAAAGAAGCCCCCTCTTTTCTTTGCAAAAGTAGAAATTGAAAAGAAGCCTGTCTCGAAAAGAGACAGGCTTCAATTCGAGGTTTTACGGTAGGTGCCAATGGTGCCTTGTAGATAATAGCTCTGTGTACAAAAAACATGGTAAAATATCGGGTGCAAGATCATTGTATTTTTTGATTGATCGATAACTTTATTGATTTGCATCCATTGGTGGAAAGCTTTCCAACACAAAGCTTTTTAAAGCAAAAAAAAAAAAAAATAGTTAAAAAATAAATAAAAATAAAATTGATAAATAATAAAATTAATAATAATAATAAATAAATAAATGTAAAGCACCTAAATGAGAGATCTGTGATCCACAAGGTGCTATAAATGCAGTACAGTATTATTATCATTATTGGTTGATGATTGATTGATTTATAGACTACAGGTTATAATTATTATTAAATATTAATTTATGTAATGAGTACACAATTCAAATTAATGTTGAGGGAAGGTGGAAGAAAACATGTCAGAATACTACAACCTCAGTAACATTGGGGTTAGGCTCTAATAAAGGCGTGGCACTAGTGGGAACAAACTGTTTTTATGTGCCCTCCAGACTCCGCCTCTGCCTCCTAAGTTACGCCACTATCTAGTCAACTGTCAACTATGACTACTGAATACAACCTTAATTTATTAAGGCAGGCTGGGTTCTGTTTTCTTAGCCGCTTTCTTCTGATTCTCTTCTGGCAACATTTCAAACACTGTTTGTGCAAAAGGGTTGTGCCAACTTCAAAATTGGTCAGTAGAACTGGTGAGACCAGTGGCGTATCTACGGGGTACGGGGGCACGCCCCTCCAAAAAAGTACTCGTTCC